AGGGGGGATGGTCACGCCGCAATCCCTTCTCCTCCATTCTCCTCTTGGAATCTTGGGCATGCACGCACACGTGCCCGGCGTGAGTTTTAAGCCACCGGGTCCAGGACGTGAACCACGGTCGACTACGTGGGAGTCCAGTGACATAGCCATTAGGCTAACTGCTGGTTCCCCTCACAAGCATTTTTAAGGGCAAAACTAGGAGCTGAGGTCCCAGGCACATGATCAGTTCAATGATTGATTCAAGAAGGCATGATCATGGGACCAGCAGTTGGCGTAATGGCTATGTCACTGGACTTCCATGTAGTTGACTGTGGTTTGAGTCCTGGACCTGGTGGCTTAAACTCATGCCGGGCGTGTGTGTGTGCATGCCCAAGATCCCAAGAGGAGAATGGAGGAGAAGGGATTGTGGTATGGCCATCACCCCTGGGGGGTGATTTCTCACTTTCTTTCTCTCTGTCTCTGTCTTTCTGGAAAGCACACACACTCTATAGCAAAAACCACTCCACCCCCCCCCCAAAAAAAAAGAGGACGTGATCATCTCATGGGCATTCTTGATTGGTGAGGCCTTAGATAATCAATTTTCTGTTCAGGTTTCTGGAGCCATTCAGCCTGGAGTCTTTGAGCTCATAGCTAGCAGTTTCCAGCTAGAAAACTTCTCACATATTGAAATGAAAACCTCATCTTTCCTTTAAGTGAGAGTTGTAGAGCTCAGATGGCCCTCATTCATGGTCCATGTTAGTCATTATCATAACCAACCAAAGAAACCTTACAGATATTATCATATCAGATTCACAATATGTTTACTTTGCTTATCAATAGTTACTTAAATTTTGTAGTAAATTTGATTATATGATTGTAAGATTGATACCAGTTTAGAGTCTAGCAAATTTGGTTTCACATCTGGCCAGATTGTTTCAGTATATGTAACATCCTGAAAGAGGTAAAAATAAAATTTGAAAACCATCTGATTTTAGATTGTTTTAGGACTTGTTTATAGAGAGAATGTTTACCTTTTCAATGACTTTAGTGTTGCACTATATATTGGTGCAAGGTAAGGTAAAGGGAAGTCCCATTACAAGAGAAATCATAAAATTATACAGTGTCATTCTGTTGTCCTTCTCAACAAAAATGACCTTTTCCCATGGACCAGATTTTTTTTTTTCATTTTAAAAAATTATGCATTTAATTTTAAATTTATTAATATTTTTAACTTGATCAGAGAGAGACAGAGCAATAGTGAAGGAAAGTGAGAAAAAAAGCTGCCAGATCCAGAACTTGAACTATGGTCTGCATTGTGGGAATCCAGTGCCTTAACCACAATGCCACCTGATGGTTCCAATGTTATGTTTTATGGGGTTGACACTAGGGGCTAGGCTTGTGAGAAATTTGGATTCCATGGTAATTAGAGGGCATAGCCATCCTCCTTTCTTATTCTCACAATCAGAAAAGGAGATAGGATGCCAGGTGTTTTTATTAGTTAAAATTGCCCAGAAACTCCCCATAGGGAATATTCTTGTTTTATCAATAAATGCTCCAGTGCCTGCCAATTAGACTACGGAATTTTATCTACCTATCTATTTATTTATTTTTTATTTATTTGCATTACTTTGTTTTGGCATATGGGTCCTATGGATGCAATGTTGGAGCTCACATTTACTATTTAAGAATTTCCGGGATCAGCAATTAGTGTAATGGCTATGTTGCTGGACTCCCATGTAGTTGACCATGGTTCGAGTCTCAGATCCAGTGGTTTAAAATCATGCCGGGAACGTGTGCATGCGTGCTCAAGATCCCGAGAGGAGAACAGAGGAGAAGGAAATGCGGCGTGGCCATCCCCCCGGGAGGTGATTTCTTGCTTTCTGTCTGTCTCTGTCTGTCTGGTGAGCGCATGCACCCGATAGCAAAAACCTCTCAAAAAAAACCCAAAAAATCTCTTAGTATGTTGGGATCAGCAGTTGGCATAATGGCTATGTCACTGGGACTCCCATGTAGTTGACCATAGTTCGAGTCCTGGACCCAGTGGCTTAAACTCATGCTGGGTGCATGTGCGTGCGTGCCCAAGATCCCAAGAGGAGAATGGAGGAGAAGAGATTGAGGTGTGACCATCCCCCTGGGGGGTGATTTCTTGCTTTCTGTCTATCTGTCTTTCTGGCAAACACATGTGCGCTATAACAGAACCTCAAACAAATAAACAAACAAACAAAAAAATCTTTTCCTATGTTAAAAAGTTTTGTTTCCTTTTAACTTTTTTTTAACCACAAATACATCTTCATATCTATAACCTTTTTTCCACATCTCTTTTCCTACTTACTGTTTTC